CAGTGGGGAATACCTGGCTGTGATGAGATTTCTCTCTTAGGTTGTGTTTCACAGGGCAGGAACACAGCACTTTGGACTGAGCAAGACATTTTGAAAAAATACTTGGTTTTCTTGGAGCACTATATTTAAATTCCAAATTTCTAGTTGACTTTTAACCTTTGTACTTACATGTTCAGAAAATTCTTTTGATACCTTTCCAATTTACTGAATTAAAACCCTTCAGAATATGTGGCTGGTCCTCCCCTTGTGTGTAACTTGGAAGTTTCAGAGCTTTGAGGGTAGTGTGCTCAAGGTAGAAGAAACTATTTACAGTTCATGGGTGGCAGCTAAGGAAGAAACCCTTTAATTTTTTTTTTTTCTCAGAGAATATTAAATTAGATCTGTGTAAACATGAAATTTATATTTATTGTGTGTGTGAGTGTGTGTGTGTATATATATAAATGGTCCATGACTATTTCTTTCTCTTAAATGGTACTTTACACAACTTTTATATAGTGTTGGTAAATTCCTGCACCAGGCACTGATTCTAAAAGAATGATGCACCTATTGTAACAAATGTGGGCAGCCAGCAGAAGCAGCTTTACTTCAGTGATTGTTTTCATTCCTCTCACAGAGCAGAAGAGATGACCTGGTACTTTAATCTACCTAGGGTAGGAGCCTTGCTTCTGCCTTGTCACACTTCCAGCAACCCCAGTCCGTGGTGCTTTTCTGGCAAGAAATTCCCCAAAAAGCACTAATGAAAGCTGAAATCCTTTCTCACCTCAGGTTATCTTTAGATGTGGTGTCGGGGTTCTTTACAGATTCTGCTTGAAGTAATGGGACCTCATTTCTAACAGAGGAGGTGGATGGAGGGTGCTGTGAGGTTGAGGAATTCCTGTCTGTCTTGTCAGGTGGCTAAGCCAACACCAGGGCACTATGAAATGGTTTCTTTTCCTGTGTGATTATATTATTCTCCTTTTATGATGCTTCTTTTTCTTCATGGGGCATGAGGTCTGTATATCCCCCTAAAAACAAATGCCTAAGTGTTTTTCTAAGGTTCCCATTCACAGGGATTAGATTTTACCAAACTGGCCAAATTTCAGTCATGGTTTTTACTCTACAAGGATGGCTAAATTCACAGAGGTGCATGTTTTGACCCCCCTGAGCCTTTTTGACAATCTTAAAAGCAGGTGATACTTCCTAATTCAAATTACTCTTCCAGAAGTAGAAATTCCTTTCTCTGCAAGGACCTGAGTGAATGCTTCACCCTGGTTTCTGCTGTGACTGCCCAGTGGTCTGGCTTTGATCCTTCAGGGAGGACAGGATTGGTGGTAAGAACAGTGACCAGGATAGGAGCAGTGAAAGGCAACAGCTTTCCTCCTCAGCAGGATTGAGAAAACCAGACTTGCCCTTAGGGCTTGGTTCCTGCTTTGTGTCTGCCCCTGAGTGAAGCAGTGCACCCAGTGTCCCAGCCCTTGGCACCTTTGCCATGATCTAGGCCTTTCAGTCCTGCTTCTACCCCACCTCAGTTTCACTTAAAGCAGTCTGAAAGCAGCCTTCCTTAAAGCTAAGGCCAACGTTGAGGAGAAATGTCTGTTGACTGAAGAAAAATGAGGTTTAAATGGAGCAGAAAAAGAGAGATTTCCTTCTGTTTCCCTGCCTTGCTGCTAAAAGTCTGGAGTAGAACATCCTAATGTTCTGCTGATTTATGTGCTGCTCTTTCAAGGTGGACAGGCTGCTAAGTAGGCAAGTTGGCTCTGAATTGCTGTGAACCTCAACTTTTTGTTTGTTTGTTTTTCCTCCCCCAAATGGTCATGATGTGGAAGGAGGGAACCAGGGTATTGTTTGTAAGATCTTTTTAAGGGAAAAGAAAAATTTCATTCAAATATACAGAAACCAGAATGGCTTTAAAATACAAAAATCTTAGCAGACCATATATTTATTGCCTTGGGTTCTGGAAATGCCATTTGGACCGGGATGAGACTGGCCTCATCCAGCCTGCCAGCCACCCTCTGCCTAGCCAAAAAGATCATTTAGGATCCTGTACCTGTATCCAAAGGGCTGTTTCAAAACTGTTTAGGGATAAATCAAAAGGTGGATGTGAGCAGTGGATGGTAAAGCTGGAAATTCAGATCCAACTCTTTTGCTTTAAACAAAAAAAAGAATTCAGAGAAATCTGAATCTCCCCCTGTTCTGCGGATCTGCAATCCCACCAAGTCTTCAGGTCAAGGCTGCAGTGGGACAAGGACCTGAAATACCTCAACAGCTTGACAGAAGTGTTCTGCTAGAAAGATCTGGAGGATCCCTTTATCCCTTTCACCAAGATTTGGCACTTAAAGATGGGGATGGATGGGGGAACAAAAGCCATGCCTGCATTTCAGTTCCTGGTGTTGCCTGTACCAGACACCTCCAGCCAGATGGTTTGGGCTTTGTGGATATTTTTTATTTACAGCCGATATCAAAAGTATTTTTTGTGACTTGTTCTCATGATCAGTGCTTTTTTAAAAGCAGGTGTGTATCCCAAGAAGGGAAAGCTCCATCTGGGGCAATGGATCATCATCTTGATCAGCACTGCTCCTCTGCAACGCTCACTGCCCAGGCAGCTCCCCCGAGGGCTGAGCGAGTGTCCTGGGCTGCTGAGGAGGCTGCTGCTCCCCAGGGGAGCCAGCACAGAAGAGCATCCGAGGAGCAGGACCTGCATTTCCACATCAAATGGGATACAGTGGTTTGGTTTAGGTGTTTTTTTTTAATACGGAGCCATACTTTTTTTTTTTTTAAGTAATTTGAGATCTGAATGTGATTTCTAATGTATCGAGAACGTTAATATTTTAAAGCTATAACAAAGTTTTAAATTTCTACCTTTTTTTTTTTTTTTTCATTTATTTTAACTGTTCTGTTACCTTAATTTGATGTATGTGGTTGGGGAATGTTGCTTCTCCTCTTAGTATTTGTTTCTATAACCAGAAATAAAATTATATATGAAAGAGAAAATGCCCTGAAATCGATTTGCTGCTGTTGAATGACACTTCAGGGTGGTATTGTAGGGGGGTTGAGAGCCCTGCAGCAGTTGGTGTTTGCACACTCTGCCCCTTCTGCCAGTGTGAGGGGACAGAGGGGTTTAGTATTTTTTTCCTTTTGTTATTTTCATGATGGCTGAGGACCTTGCACTGTGCCAGAGTTCACAGATACCCAACTTCTGATCCCTTCTCAGTTATTTGGGGAGCTGCTCACTTGCAGGAGAGTGAACATATGTCTGTCTGTGTGTTTGAGATCCCTAATGCTTCACGTGGGAATTGCAGACTGTTCCTTCAGCTCCAGCCTTCACTTTGTCATGAAGTGAAGCGTTGTTATTTTGAAAGATAAATGGTGAGTGTATTTCCCTATGGCTTATAATCATTTTATTTAAGCATGTGAGGGCAGAAAAATATTTATCCACCTTCCTTGGAGTTAGATTTCTCCTGCCTTGTCCTTCTAAGGGGGGTATGATTTAAGTCATTCTGCATCTGTTTTGCCTGGAAGGCAGTGTGAGCTCCAAAATTGAATAGGAATCTCTTTTAAGACCCCAGTAGATTAAAATACCTGTATTTTACTAACTAGTGTTTTGAAAGACACATATTTAACATGGTGTAGCAAGAGATTCAGTCAACATTGCCCTGTCTGTGGCTCCCCACGTGCCTCGGGAGTTTCCTGATGCGGGCAGGGGAAAAGGTGAGCAGGGACAAGTGGGGATGCTCATCAGCGGTCAGGAGGGGACGTTTGCCAGGGGGAGATGTTGGTGCCTTCACCTGTGGGAAGCTCTGAAGGCACCTGCGGAGCCGCCACTTGTCCCTTTGTGGAACGCGGGGGCTCCGAACGGGTCACGGGAAGGTGAAGGCACCTGCTGCTGCTGCTCAGGGGGAAACAACAGCACCGTGGCCTCGAAAGAGAGCAATGAGCAGGCACTAGACAGGACTTGGCCATCACCCCCTGCCCCGGGCAGGACCGGAGACCCCCGGAACCTTCGTGCAGCGGGAACCTGGTGCAGCCGGAACCTGGTGCAGCAGCACCGCGTCCCCCG